TGGAGTTGTTTTTTCGTGTTTTGGGCAATTGCTTTGCATGCATTTATTATTACAATTTAGGGAAAAAGAAAAAAAACTTACATATTTTTTTTTTATGCTCTTTCATATGAGATCATATGAAAGAGCATAAAAAGATCATTAGGAGCACTTAGGGATCCCTTTAAAATTAACAAAATCTCTTTGTGTAAAATAGTTTTTTGTTTTGTTTCTATAATAAAACTGGATCCGGATCCAAATCCCGAATATCCGGGTAGGATGCGGAACCGGATCCTGATTAATTTGTCAGATCCCATATGCCCTACTTGTATCTAAATTCTAAAAATGTTAATATAATTTTATTTATAAAAATTTCAACTTTTATAAAAAAAAAAGTATTTTATAAAAATGCAATTTTATATTATATATGCATTTATACATTATATATTTAGATTTGTAATAGTTCTAGATTTTTTAAACATTCAACTGCTTTGCATATAAGATTATTAAACTAGAAGCATATGGTATAATATTATATAATTATAATATTTTTTTTATATAATAATTTAGATAAATTATAATACTTTTGAAAAATTTCTTCATAAGAATTTTTTTTTTTTAATAAAACAACGGTTATAATATTTTAATTGAATTCTTCGTTTTGAATTCATATATATATATATATATATATATATATATATATATATATATATATATATATATATATATATATATATATATATATATATATATATATATACATATATATATATATATATATATATACATATACATATATATATATATATATATATATATATATATATATATATATATATATATATATATATATATATATATATATATATATATATATATATATATATATATATAAACTTTTTCAACTTGAAAAAGAAGCTAATTTATTGTTTAAACTTAATGAAAAAAAATTTGTTTAAACTTAATGCTTTAAAAACTCATCCATCCATAAAAAATGTTGAAGACACCACAGTGTCTTTATCTATTTTTATCAAATTTTTAAAATTGTTAATGTTAATGGACTTAATGAAAATATTTGTACTAGAGATAAATATTTCTGTTTTTTCATCAAACAATGATAAAGGACTAAACTTTCTTTTAAATTTGGTTAATATGGTTGAAAAAATGGCTCCTGAAAAACAAGGTCATAAACTAAAAAAATTTAACAAAAGATACTTCTCGCACTTTTTCTTATACATGTCATGGGATGGTTGAACTAGTAAAAAATTTACTAACTACAAGTCATAACTATGATTTGTCTTGGACATTTTACTAGTGCCCCTATTAAGAAAGCATTTGGAAAACTTTGGCAAGGATCAGATGGTACCTATTTTATAAATGTTTAGCAAATATTACAAAAAGTTGACATTAAAAAAATAAAACTTTGTCTGAATATTGGTATCACTGCTAATGATTTAAAAGTATTGTCAAGCCATTTGTGTGACAAATGTATTTATATATTGCAAGATGATATTTTGTTCAATGTGTTTCATAATCTTCCAGTTATTGAAAGCAATTTGTCTAAAAAAATTAAAATGTCGTTGGTTTACATTGCTGGTTAGGTCAATAGAGAAGATCCTCCAGTTAAAGATACAACATGTTTGACCAATTTTTGTGATTATATCAGAGAGATTAATCTGGTGGTTTAAGTTTACCTGGAGATAACATTTGCCATTGGATATTTTATTCATACATTTTAGTTCATTATCTGTACACTTTTGTCTGTTGTGCTAGCTAATCTAACTGTTTTTTGATGGTATCTGACTTTTATGGATTTAACAATGTTTCAAAAAAACATTGTAGAATCTTTGCCAATATATTTTTAACAACTATTGCCGTCTTTATACCCCACGATCTTCAAAGGAACCCAAAATGAAAATTTTGAAGTAAATAAATATATTACATGTATTTTAACTAATTTCAGTTTTGTTTTGAAAAGTTTTTATACCATATAGATTTTAGAATTTTTTGCACACTAAAAACTGAGTTTTTACTATATTATTTTTAAGGAAATGTGTTTTGCATTTACTATACAATTTTTTTTCATTTTGGAGGTTAAATTTAATTAATTGTTAAAAAAAATCTTTATTTATGACTTACACATACCTCATTATTTAATAGAAACTAATAAATAATGATTAAAAAGAAAAAATGCTTTCAAAAAAAAAAAAAAACTTTTACAGTTTTTTTAAAGGTGTATGTTTACTCGGTCTGCCACTATAGTGAGCCATGATTTCACTTCAAAGATTTTATACATAGTTTATGTTTAATAACTGAAGGTCTATTAACAAGTTTCCAAATAATAATTATTTTAAAGTTACTCTGTTTTTTCAGGACTAAAAACCAGTATAACAATATGAATGATAAAGAAAGGTGTTTAATGAGTTTAATAAATAAAAAATTTGTTGCAAACAAAATATGTGAAATCCAAAGACATCAAGAAAGTTTCAAGTCTCAATAATGTAGAAAAAAACTTAATAATTTAGTCCTTCTGTAGTTAAAATGGATGAAATATACAGGTTTTCAAATAATAACTATTTTAAAGTTACTATGCTTTTTCAGAACTAAAAACCAAAATAACAATATTAATGACAACGAAAGATGTTCTTTATCATGCATATTATTTTTTGCCTACACCGTAACGGTTTGAAACTAAAGTTGTTTATGATTAACTAGAATATTCATTTATGTTTACATTGTGGCTAGCACAACATTACTGTTGCTTTAATTTTTTATCTTAAAATCACTGTAGTAAAGTCTAATTGGTTCATTTTTATTTACAGCAGCAAAAATTATTGGTTAATTTTAAAAGTTTTATTTGTTACAAATTTTAAAATTACTGTTATCAGACGTTGTACGTTTATTCTTGTGGTACCTCTTTAGATAAATAACGTGGAGATCGAGTTCTCTACACGGTGATATTTGTTTTAAACTTTTTTTTTAAACTATTTTTATATTGAAAGTTATTATTATTGTTGTATATTGAAAGTTACATTGCTTTTTATTATTTTGAGGGTTTTGGTTTGGACAGGTATTCTTTAAATAAAAGAAAAAATATTAATTAAACTGAAGCTATTGTGACTATGAGAAAAAATTAGCAGCGGTACCGCTGCGCGAGCAACAGCGTTACTTTCAAGCTGATAAGATTATTAAATAATACTTGTATGTAAATGAGCCTCAGAGTGTTTGTAAGATGATATAAGATATTGCTAATGATTAATATTCCAAAAACAAGTCACAGGAAAACAATACAAAATCTATGAAATTAAACACAAAAGCATTGAAAACAGCTGAACAACCTTTAAATTTTCATAAAACTTTTAAATTTTGTTACCTTTTTACATTTTAATTAATAATAATTTCTTTTTCTTCTTTTTTTTTATCTAATTTTTAAATATTTCTTAATTTTTATGGTTTATTTTTGTAATTTTATTAAGGATTTTTTTTAGGTCATTCCAGAACCAAAATGTCCAGAATTCTAGACTTTTAGGTCATTCCAGTTCCTGCTGAATTTACAATATTTCAGACCAGAATGCCTTTTTATTTTTTACCTTTAAGACATGTGACACAGACTGTGTAAATTAAATAAAAAAATAATTGTCCTACAGGGCAATGAGGAACTATAAGTAAACTTAGGTAAAAAATACAAGTTTCTAATGAATACAATGTATTTTATTTGCAATAATCATTAATGTAAGGATTTCTAGAAGTTTATAAATATTGCAAAAGGTGCAAAAAAGTTGCTATCCAATTTTTTTTTTGCACCTTTTGCAATATTTATAAACTTCTAGAAATCCTTACATTGTTTTTCATCAAAAATCTGCCACTGGAAATAGTCTTATTTTAAATCTTACTTAAATTTTAAGTAGGTAAAATATATAGAATGCCTAATACAGCAAATATATCAATTTTGCTGTATTAGGCATTCTATATTTCAATTGATAACATAGAAATAGTTTTAATTTAAATATTATGCAAGTTAAAACTTTTAATTAATAAATTTATAAGAAACAAATAAAAATAACATAAAAGATATAAATGAAACAAGAGTCAACTTAATGAAATAGGTTATCTCAATATATTATAGGTTATAAATGTATTTTATATAGCCACAATGCTGAGGTGCAATCTTTCACTTTCATCTTGAAGGTAAAAAAATACATTAATATAATTCTTGTTCCGGTTGAAATTTTATTATTAAGTTAAGTTCTAGCAGGAATTCAAAATTTCCATTACGGTAAACCCCTAAATTTTATTGTTTGTTATATGTAAAAACCATAGGGAGAAATTACAGAATCATATCTTTTATCTCAAGAAACACTTTTATTTTTAAAGAAGATTCGTTTAATAAACCTTGTATAACATACATGCAACTTAAATTAGATAACATATATGTAACTTAAATTAGATAACATATATGTAACTTAAATTAGATAACATATATGCAACTTAAATTAGATAATTTATATGCAACTTAAATTAGATAACATATATACAACTTAAATTAGATAACATATATGCAACTTAAATTAGATAACATATATACAACTTCAATTAGATAACATATATGCAACTTCAATTAGATAACATATATACAACTTCAATTAAATAACATATATGCAACTAAAATTAGATAACATATATGCAACTTAAATTAGATAACATATATACAACTTCAATTAGATAACATATATGCAACTTAAATTAGATAACATATATGCAACTTAAATTAGATAACATACATACAACTTCAATTAGATAACATATATGCAACTTCAATTAGATAACATATATGCAACTTAAATTAGATAAATTACATTTAAGTTACATATTAAACTTATATAACTTTATATAACTATATTGTATCTATAAGTTAGTTATATAAGGTAAAATTGTATAAATAATTTTAATGACAAATTAGTTATCATTATAAAAATAATTAAACTTAAAAATATTAAAAATATAAACTTATTTTCACAACATACTTGCTTCCATAAGCTAAATCAAAATTTTCAATTCTGACATCAACCACTTTTCCGGTTTCATCTTTTTTAAAATCTTTTCTTTGAACAACTTGATTTGTGGTAGGTCCATTCACTACATTTTCAACAATAGGAATAATTTCCTTATCTTTCTTCTCATTTTTTAACTTGAGCTTTGCATCGACTTTTCCTAGTTTTTTCATGTCAACAGTTTTCTAAATTGTTAACCACGAAAATAAACTTTGTAATAGCGTTTGGTATTAGCAAATATAGTAAAAATATATACTAATGCTTGTATGCATCTATAAATACAGGGCTAAAACTAATTTAGAAGCGTATTTATAATTAATTTTTAAGTTCTCAATTCATTCAAAACAGAGCAATCGTTATGTTCATTACCTCTAGTATTTCGTATTAACGTTGGAAATTGGGCGATACAAAGGAAATAATTTTAGACAGGCATCAAATGTGGTAAATACATTTATAAAAAAAACCATGCAATTCTTTTATTTAATTTTTACCATCATAACAAAATTTACCAACTAAATAATTTGTTTTACAAATAAATGCGAAAAAATAAATTTATTTTCTTATTATATAAGTATCGAGAAAAAATGTCAAATATAGCAAAAAAAGTTTTAAAAGCAAAAAGATATGAAAACGAATAAACATAAGTAAAAAAAATTAACATCGCAAATAAGTTTCTTAATTATAAAGGCTGGTAAAAATCATGAATAAATTGTATTTCAAAACTTTAAACACTTGATTTTGCTAAAGCTGTGCTTGCCAAACAATTTCAAGTAATATATTTTTTCAAGTAAATGAAAAAAAATAATTAAAAATATCAAGGGGACAAATATGCTTTAAAATATAATAAATGGTCCTACATTATTTGATTTTTAAACTCCTGAAATTATTTGGATGGCATATTACAACAATACATTTTTTTTTTAATGTTAAAACCTATTTTTTTGCTTACTTCATTAAAAAAGACATTAATATGAAATATAATAATTCAGTATATAAAGTACAAATATAGTAGTGTTTATTAATAATAAAGTTGTATCATTTTTATTAACGCCTTAGGTTACCCCATTTTTACAGAATTCTTGAAACAAAAATAAAACTTTTATAAGCATTAGTGATGTACCGATTAATTAACATCGACTTAATCTGTCACTTTTTGCACAATCGGAATCGATATCAGCCTTTTTTTTTATTAATTTACTAATTTGATTACTGAGGCCATTTTAATATTTTTATCCTGCATTATGATAACTATTTTAATATTTATATTCTGCATTATGATAATAATTAAATAATAAATAATAAAATCTAAACTTTATGCATTGCTTAAAATTTTTTTGAGAAATTGTTTATTTTGACTTGATGTTTATAAGCTTTAATTTAACAGTTGAATATATTTGTACTTTTATTACAATGTTGTTTTTAGAATAATTTTATTTTGTATTGTTTTACTGTTATACTTAAAAGTAACCTATTTAAGCATTGTTATCTATATGTATTCAAGTATTGCCTTCTATATTTCTATATGATTGTTATTTAGATATCTAAATCTAAATATCTATTTAGATATCTAAATTACTAATAAGTTAATAAAGTTGCAGAAATAAATATATATTCAGAATGGCAGCAGCTTTGTTTGGAAAAGGTATTCCAATAAAATCACGCAGTCGGGTGTGGAAATATTTTACTATTTCTCCTGAAGATGCTACAATTGCAATATGTAGCACATGCAAACTGAAGATGACAAGTGGTAACAAAGAAATAAAATCTAATTTTTTTAACACAACAAATATGATATCTCATATTAATTCAAAATATAAAGAAATAACAAGCAAATAATTGAAACTTAATGAAGAAGAGAGAAAAAGGAGAAAGTGAACAAAATGTGATCAAGAAAATCAAGTCAACTGATGCAATTTTCTCAAAACTATCTCTACAAACTTTGTTTGAAACACTTGAAAGAAAAAAGCCCTGAGACATTAATGATCACAAGTTTAAATTAACTAATAAATATATTGCAGAAATGATTGCGGTTGATATTCAACCTTTTCTATAGTAGAAGACATCTCAAAGATTGCTCAACCATTTATGTGCTAACTATTGCATTCTAAATAGAAAATACATTAAAAACTCTGTTTATAAAAATATATACAACAAAGTTGATGACTCATACATTTTATTTACTGATGGATGGGCATCTACCAACGGAAAATGCTCATTTCTTAGCTTAGTTAATTAATGAATTTCATCAAAAATCTGCAATATTTGAGTTTGTCGACTCAATGTATAGCATACTGCCAAAAATATAAGTGAAGCAATTCAAAGTTCTATGAATGACTTTCTTAT